TATGACTCCTGATGTTGGCTCAGATCATGATCTCACAGTCATGAGATCAAGCACCACATTGGGCTCTGTGCTGGGCATGCAGCCTGTTTAGGATTCTCTCTCTCTTCCTCTCCCTCTGCCCTGTTCCTTAAAAAAAAAAAAAAAAAAAAAAAAAAAAGACTTGTATAAGAGATTGCTAGCAACTTTATTCGTAGTAGCCCTAAGCTAGGAGCAACCTAATCCAATAAGAGAATGAATAAACGAATTTTGCTATATTCATACGATGAAATACTATGTAGCAATAAAAAAGAATTATATATTAATACAGGCAACAATATGAAGCAAGCCACAGGGGTGCCTGGGGGGCTCAGTCAGTTGAGTATCTGACTCTTGATTTCAGCTTTGATCATGATCTCATGGTTGGTGAGACTGAGTCCCTCGTTGGGCTCTGCACTCAGCTCAGTCTGCTTAGGATTCTCTCTCTCCTCTTCCTCTGCCCTCCCCATGCTCTGCCACTCACTCACGCTCACTCTCATAAATGAATAAATAAAGTCTTAAAAAAATAAGTTAGCCACAAAAGAGTAGCATACTTTATGATTCCATTTATATGAGGCTAAACATAGGCAAAACTGATCTGTGGTCATAGAACTGAGAATAATGATTACCTCCGGGAATGTAAAGATGTTGGTTTGAAGGAAAGGAAAAGTGAATTGGAGGAAATCAGAGGGGAAGACAAACCATGAGAGACTGTGGACTTTGAGAAACAAACTGAATGTTTTAGAGGGGAGAGGGGTGGGGGGATGGGTGAGTCTGGTGGTGGGTATTAAGGAGGGCACGTATTGCATGGAGCACTGGGTGTGGTACATAAACAATGAATTTTGGAACACTGAAAAAAAAGATGTTGGTTTGACTAGAAAGGGCACAAGGAACTTTTTGGGGTAATGATTACATGGGTATATGCAAATGTAAAAATTTATCAAGCTGTACACATAAGACGTGCATTTTAGTATATGTAAATTACGCCTCCATTAAAAAAAAAATCTATTGGTTCCTAAATTAGTGTTATACATCTGAAAAATTCATATCAAACCCATATGCCAGAGACCGCAGTTTGGGATTTGTTAGTTTAAGCCTTGGTTACAAGAAGTTAACATTTGTAAACATCTCATAGAAAGCATAGAGCAGCAACTCCAGAAAGAAAAACACATCTGTTTCATTCAGGCCCATTGTGACTTCCATGTGTCCCAGAGGCAATATTTGTCTCTAATAAAATAACTTAATTTCTTATATTCAAATTCTAACAGGCAGTTTTCTCTTTCTTCTCTCTTCCTCTTCCTTAGTAGCACATAATACAGCCTAATCATGGATTCTGGTTTTCATTTCTAATTTTCTGTGACCCATAACCCAACTTGACTTTATCTACTTGATCTGATACAGTTAGCCCCTAGTTACTATGTGTACGGCCCAATGCTATACGTCCCGAGGTGTAAATATAGCCCCTGACCTCAAGAATCGTTGAGGCAGAGAAGTCCATGATAACAGTAGTAATAATTATAATAGGAAACATGGTTTGAATACTGACTTTAGGTTAGGCAGTATCCAAAGCGCTTTACATGAATTACCTCATCTAGTATCACAACAACCCTAAGAGGCAGTGCAAGATGTCAGGGTAAGACTGACATCTTTTGTATGAGGACAGAGATGAAGAACCTCTCTATTATCTCAAGCATTTCAGCTCCAGCCCAACCTGCGATCCTCACTGCAGCAAAATAAAGCTGGATAACGGAACTCATTCTTTTTTTTTTTTTTCCCGAACTCATTCTTTTTAGAGGTAATCTGCTGTACCTGCACCTGTCTCTTGGAGATCTTACCAGACCCCCCCAACCACCACACACACACACCCCATAATGTTCTCCTTGAAAAAAGTTAGGGTAAATGTAAGAGGTTTTTTTTTTTTTCTTTTTGTAAAATAGTACCCTTATAAATTGGCACCTTTAATAACTGCCTGTCTGACCACCATGTTCAGTTTTGAGGTAGATGCTGTCTTTAATCCCTGTTTTACTGGTGAGAAAACTGAGGGTCACGCAAGTTGAATAATGTGCTTTGTTTGTTTTGAACTGCTGTGTAACAAATTAATACAAATTTACTGGTTTACTACACACAGACATTATCTCACAGTTTCTGTGGGTCATGAGTCAGGCACAGGTTAGTTAGGGCCTCTGCTCAGGGTCATAGAAAACCGCAGTCAAGGTGACAGTTGGGCTGTATTCTAATCTGGAGCTCTACGTCCCCTTCCAAACTGACGTGGCTGTTGGCAGAATTTAGTTCTTGCATCTGCATGACAGATAGACCATTTTTGCATCTTTTTGCTGGCTGTTAGGTGGAAACTGCCTTCTGCTCCAGAAGTCATTGCCACATGACCCCCTTCATTGGTCCTCCCACAACATGTTAGCTTATTTCTTCAAGCCCACTCTCTGACATTAGGGAGGGCACCAGACCCTTTTTTAAAGGACTCCTTAGTTAGGTCTGGCCCATATAAGGTAATCTCCTTTTTGTTAATTCAAAATCAGCTGAAGAGGGGGAGCCTTAGTTAAATCTGTAACATCCCTTTGGCCATTTACTGTAACATAATAATGGGATTCATATCTCATCATGTTCACGAAGTCTACCCACATTCAAGGGGAGGAGATAATACAAGAGGTCAGGAATCTTGGGGACCATCTTAGAATCCTGCCTACCAACATGCACAGTCACCTATCAGGTAATTGGCAAAGCAGTATTCTCTTTAAGCAGAGTATGCATCAAAATCATTATGTTGAACTGCCTCAAAAACAAAAAAAGTTAACTACCAAAAAAAATTTTTAATATTCCATATACCTGACATTTATGAATAATTTAATAATTAGTACCATTAACAGAAGTATCAGCTATGTCAATACCTAAAAATGCACATATGTAAGGAACAAAAGTAAGATGATAAAATAATACATACGTGCCATTGTTACGTTGCTAATACATGAATTAGGAAATATATGATAATGTTAAATAGCTGATTTAAGTTTCTGGACCTTTAAAAAATTTACCTGTCATTTTTAAAATATAATGATTCTCTAAAAAGATAGCTTACCATACAAAATAGCAGATGATAAATGTTAAATATTGTTTTGACAGTAAGTGCTACAGAAGTTCAGAGTAGGGGAGATTAATGTGGACTAGAATTTCCCTTTAGTTGTAAAATAAGGTTAATTTTTTTATGAGATAGTTTATCATGAATTTTGCCCTAGGACTAGTTTCTTTTCTGGAGCTTGCAACCTATTCAGTGTCATCTGCTCAGTGTAAAGGATTACGTGGCCCAGAAGTGGTGGCTCATTCTCAGTTGAATAGAACTCCTTTAGTATTGCTGTAGAAACTCAAAATCTTCCAAGTCATTGTAATATCAGAAGATAGGAAACATGGTGTTCCTGTGTATCTGTTGACGCTTTTTTTTTTTTAGATTTTATTTATTTATTTGACAGAAATCACAACTAGGCAGAGAGGCAGCCAGAGAGAGAAAGTGGGAAGCAGGCTCCCCGCTGAGCAGAGAGCCCGATGTGGGGCTCGATCCCAGGACCCTGGGACCATGACCTGAGCTGAAGGCAGAGGCTTTAACCCACTGAGCCACCCAGATGCCCCTGTTGATGCTTTTTACCAGTCAGTTCATCATTTTCAACTATTGCAAAGTTAATTGGCAGGATTTTTTTCTGCCTTCTGCTGGGGGTCGCAATTATTCATTTATTCTATGTCTCCAGAATAAGATAAGCATCTCAACTATTTATGAGTTCTAATTTTAAAAAGAGGTTGTGGTAGACTGAATAATGCCCCCCCCCCCAAATATACCCATGTCCTAATTCCTGGAACCAATGAATGTCTCTTTATATGACACAAGGGATTTTATATGACAAGAGACTTTATAGATGTGATTAAGTTAATGATCTTGAGATTAGGAAAGTATCCAGGATTACCTGGGTGAGCCCCATGTTATCAACAGTCCTATAAGAGGGACAAAGGAGGAATCAGATGCCCCACGATACAGATCAGTGGTTCTCAAAGTATGATCCCAGGCGAACAGCATCAGTATCATCTGGCAACTGGCTAAAAACGCAGCTTCTCCAGCTCTGCTCCAGACTTCCCGAATGCGAAACTCTAGGGATGAAGCCCAGCAGTTCACATTTAACAGTTCCTCCAGGTGATTCTGATACACGCTAATGTTTGAGAATCACTGGTATAAACTAAGTTTTGCTCTCTCTGATAGAACAGGCCTGAGGCTAAAATACTGGGAAAGCTCACTCTATTGGCCTGCCAAAGGTAATTTGCAACTACTTCCTTCCTGCATGAGTTGTATCAGGCTATAATCACTTGGACAGCTTAATTGAAAAATCACTTATGTTTATAGCTGAAATTAAATATGTTTTGTATTTAAATAACTGCTTTTGATTAGAATCATATTTTTGGGGAAGTGCTTCATTTTATTTGTGTGCTGTAAATATATTCATAAAAACTTGTCAAATTTCTAGCGGTAACTAACATCCTATTCAGTATAAGATGAAATGTTTTACATCAAATTTCACTGTGTGTAATGGACAGAGGGCATTAGACGGGGTATTTAAGGTGGCTGAGTAGATTTCTTGGCTTAGTATTTGAAAGTAAACATTTTAAGACATTAACATTTAATGTTTTTGCCTCTTCTCAAAGTTGATTTTATGTAACCCTCATCATTTGCAACTCCTGTTGTCTTGCTTAAGCAGCAAATAGCAACACTTTCTTTTTCTCATTCTTATGGATTTACTGAAATATAGATTATTTGAAAATGGTTTTAGCTTTGTGGCGCATGTCTGTTCAGCTGTGTGAATATGATCATTTTTTATTTAAGAAGACAAAACAACAACTCTGTTTTGGTAAACATATATCATTGATTTCTGAAAAGCCAAAAGAACCCATTTCACTGTGCTCTTATCTGACAATGATCTTTCGGTTCCTTTTAGGCATCCAATAGGAAAAGCACACTTCGGTCTTCAGCTGTGGAACTAGATGGTTCCTACTTGAGTGTAGCCAAATCACAAACCTGCTATCAAACCAAGCAGAGGCCTAAGGCTACAAAGCAGGACTCAGCTTCAGAAGCCCTTCTGGAGTTTAGGAATAATTCTTTGAAACCAGCAGACTTTCATTATCCCGAAACAGACCTAGACAGGGTGCCGTCAGAGACCAGAACATGTGATTATGGATCCCCAGGGAGAAAACTAGCAGATGCAGTCCCTGCAGAGAAGGTTCCACCAGCGGAATTGAATATGAAAGAATGCCAAACCCTGAAGCCTATTCCATCCAGTCAGTGTTGTGGTCATAGACTTTCTGAAAACGCAGATCCTATTCCTGAAAGCCATCCTACACACATGGCCCCTCAATATTCCAGAGCACATCTGGAATCATGCAGTTATTGTGGGCTTTCCTGGACATCCCGGATGCATGGTCAAGGGACACAGCAGTCTAGTGAAACTGATGTCAAAAAGCAACTCTCAGAAAATAGAAGGCACCAACTTATGCTTCAGAAAATGGAACTGGAAATTGAAAAAGAGCGCCTTCAGCATCTGCTGACCCAGCAGGAGACAAAGCTTCTCCTAAAACAGCAGCAGCTTCATCAGTCTCGACTGGATTATAATTGGTAAGTCTTGCTTATTCTTTCAGCAATGTCTATAGCTTGGAAAACATGGTATAAAGTTACTATTGTGCTACTGTAACACTTGCGAAGGAACAGAGGTTTCTCGGGGGCTTGGCTTGCTCAAGATGCATACTTACTAGGACAACTAGATAAATTCCACTGCCTGCTTTGGAAGACTTGGAAGATTACCTTGTCTTCCAAAATGTTAGCTTAGAATATCTACTTCTTAGTGGTCCATTGTCATTTTTACTGGATGCCAAAGAGAATATTTTTTTTTTAAAGATATGATTGTATAAAAACCCTTTGCTGTTTGTGGTCATTAATAGAGAATATTGAGCATTAAGTAAAAAATTGAGACTTCAGGATATGGAATCAAATTGTGAAGCAGAGTGATTAACTATTACTATTCCATATTTATGTCTATCCACCATAATATAAAATATAACAAATGATAGGAACCTTTTCATTTCAGCCTTTTCTCATCATGAAGCATAACCTATTTGATTACCAATTCTTAGAACTTTACCCACATTTAAACTCTTCCTCCCTTAAGGATTCTTCCCTAAGAACAATGTTTCAAAAACTAAATTGGTATTTTGAGATTATATAGCTCAGCATAGTTTTCCATGCAGCATCATAAAGTTTGCCATCTTAATTTATTCAAGCAAAATTATTAATAAACAGACATAGTTATATTTTAAACATAATGCTTTATTATGTTCTTATGTTATTTAACATATTTGACATATTCCACCAGTGGAGTTAAAGACAAAAGAATGTTAAAGTAACATATTTTAAACAAGATATGTCATTTATGTCTTTAAAAAAAAAAATTACAAGTTGTCATAAGGAAGGGCTTGTATAAGTATAGATAGATAGATAGATAGATAGATAGATAGATAGATAGATAGATATAGATAGATATGGAGATATATATAGATATATAGATATGGAGATATATATATCCCTGTCATTTCCTTCTTGATCAAACTATTTCCCCATTTGTACACACTCATACATCCTATATAGACACACTTAGTATGAATGTCATTTTCTTTTACTTCTTAATTTTCTCTCACTTAAAAATTCTGCCTAATATTTTTTAGATTCTAATTTTTTTGAGAGCTCATCTTGACATTTTTCCATTGGTGTAATACTTTCTTGGAACCAGAAATGCTCTTCCTCTTTCTCTTCATTTGTGGTCAGACAGTTCTACTCTTCATTGTCAAAAGCTGGAGGCTTTTAATGTAACTGAAAATGCAGGCTCTTATAACAAGATTGTCACCAAATGCCCAAGGTTGCTTCAGTTTTATGACCCCAGTCTCTAATCCTCCAGTTAATGTGTAGTCTCTCCTAAGAATGTTATTTAACAAACATTATGGAACGCCTGTGATATGTGAGAAATGGTTCTAGGCTCTTAGGATAGAAAAATGAACCAAATGTGGTCTTTAAAGAGGGCACAGTCCAGCAGGGAAGAATGGATAATTTTAGAATAGGTTTCATGTTCATTTGAACAGCACTATTTATTGAAATAATGCTACATGATGATGGTAAATAGACTTTGTGTTCATCTGAACAGCACTATTTATTAAAATAATGCTGCATAACGACAACAAAGTCTTTATTGTTCTCTTGATCATCCTAGCTTAGATGAGAGAGCTGTGAAACAATTTTTGAGCATGTTTTATTTACGTATAAATTGCAAAAGTTTATACATATTTATAGAGCTCTTACAAACTTTTTATTTTGAAATAATTAGGGATTGACAGGAAGTTGTGAAAATAGTAGAGGTTTCCCTCCAGTTTCTCCCAATGGCTATGTCTTACATAATTATAATGCAGTGTCAAAATGAGTAAATTAACATTGGTACAATGTGTGTGTCTAGCTCTGTGCCATTTTATCACATGTGTAGACTTGCATAACCACCACAGCAGTCAAAATATAGAATTATTTCATTGCTATCAGGATTTCCTTTTTACTACCCTATTTGAGCTGCCCACCCTTTTCTGCCCCCCACTAACCCTTGGAACCCACTAATCTGTTGTTTATATCTATAATGTAGGCATTTTGAGAATGTTATATAAATGAAATCATACAGTATGTGAACTTTTGATATTGGCTTTTTCACTCAGTATGATGTTCTTAAGATCCTTCTAGGTTGTTACATATACTGTACCTTTTGATTGCAGAGTCATAGTCCATGGTATGGTTATACTATGATCTGTTGAACCATTGATCTATTGAAGGACAACTTGGTTTTTTGGCCTGTTACAAATAAAGCAGCTATGTACATTTTTATACAAGTTTTCATGTGGACTAAGATTCTCACTTTTACAAATTAAAGCTAGCACTGTGATTTCTAGATCATATGATAAGTGTATATTTGGTTTAAAAAAGACTAAATCTACCTTTAGCTTATATATTTATTATATCATACTTCTTCACCAGCAATGTATCAGGGACTTTTTCCCTACATCCTTACCAGCATTTGGAATGGTCACAAATTTTTTATTTTGCCTGTTCTAATCTGTATATAATGATATTTTGTTGTGGTCTTAATTTGCATTTCTTAAATGATAATGATACTGAAAATCTTTTCATTTGCTTTTTGCCCTTCTTCCATCTTTTTTGGTAAATTGTCTCTTTTGTCTTCATTCTTATTGGATTGCTTAAGGTTTGTTTTTTTTTTTACTGTTGAATTTTGAGAGCTTTTTATATATTCTAGATATGTCCTTTTTCAGATATGTGGATTGCAAATATTTCCTCCTATTCTGTAGCTTATTTGTTTAATCTATTAACAAGATCTTTCACATAACAAAAGGTATTAATTTTGATGAAGTTTAACTTATCAGTTTTTCTTGTAGATTATATAAAGTTTTTATCATGAATGTTTGTTGAATTTTCTCAAATCTTGTTTATGCATCAATTGATGTGATCATGTGATTTTTTTTTTTTAATTTTGCCTGCTAATATGGCAGATTACATTTATTGATTTTTAAATACTGCCCTAGTGTTGTATCCCTGGAAAATAAGCTCCATTTGATTACAGTATAAAATACTTTTTATGTATTACCAAATTCCATTTACTAGTATTTTGTTAAGGGCATTGGCATCAATATTGGTGAGAGATTTTGGTCTGTTTTTTTGGTACTATCTGTGTCTAATTTTGTTATCAAGGTAATATTGGTCTCATTTATTTCATTCATTTCTCTTATTATTTTCTTCCTTGTGCTTGCTTTGGATTTATCTTGCTCTCCTATTTTTAAATTTCTTAAGGTGGGAGCTTAGATTACTGATTAGAGACTTATTTTCTGGTGGAAGCATTTACTGCTATACATTTCTGTCTCAGCACTGAAGTAGGTCTCACAAGTTTTGGTATGTTCATGTGTTCACTTAGTATAATGTTCTTCTAGGTTCATTCATTGTGTTGCAACTGTCTGGATATTCTTCTTTCTCATGACTGAATTTTACATATGTGTGTATATATGTTATGTTATATTAATTATTTATTACATATATAACATATTATAGATATATCTTTTTTAGCCATTTGTTGACAGACACTTAGGTTGTTTTCATTACAAGTAACACTGCAATGAACATGGGAGTAAAGCTATCTCTTCAAGATACTAACTTCATTTCCTTTAAATAGATATCCAAAAGTAAGATTGCTAGATCTTACAGTTGTTCTATTTCTAGTTTTCTTGAGAAATCTTCACACTGCTTTTTAATAGTGGCTGTACTAACTTACATTCCCACTAACAGTGTATAGGGATTCCTTTTCTCCATATCCCGCCCAACGTTTATCTTTTTTTCTTTTTGATCAAAGCCAGCCTCACAGGTGTGAGGCAATATCTCATTGTAGTTTTGATTTGTATTTCCCTAACAGTTAGTGATGTTGAGCATCTTTTCATGTACCTGTTAGTCACTTGTTTGTCTTCTTTGGAAAAATGTCTTTTCAGTGCCTCTTCCCATTTTTCAATTGAGTGGTTTGGTTTTTTGCTGATGAGTTGTGTAAGTCCCTTCCTCGTATATTTTGAGTATTAACCCCTAATCACCCTTATCATATATATAATTAATGCCATATCATATATATAATTTCCAAATATTTTCTCTCATTCCATAGGTTGCCTTTTCACTTTTATTATTTATTTTGCTGTGCAGAAGCCTTTTAACTTGATGCGGTCCCACTTATTTTTGCTATTGTTGCCTGAGCTTTTGGTGTCAAATCCAAAAAATCATTGCCAAGACCAATGTCAAGGAGCTTATTCCCTGTTTTCTTCCAGTAGTTTTACAGTTTCAGGTCTTAGATTTAAGTCTTTAATCCAGTTAAGGTTAATTTCTTATTCTAAGTGTTTTGTTGTTTTTGATTCATTTGTAAGTGTATAGAAATGCAACTGATTTTTGTATGTTGATTTTGTATCCTGCAAATTTAGTGAATTCATTCATTAGTTCTAACAGTTCTTTGGTGGCATCTTCATTGTTTTTTCTAGATAAGATTGTGTCACCTGCAAACAGATGATTTTACTTTTCTTTCTTATTGGGATATCTTTTATTTCTTTTTCTTGCCTAATTACTCTGGTTGGTACTTCCAATATTATGTTGAATAAAAGTGGGAAGAATAGATATCCTTGTCTTGTTTCTCATCTTACAGAAAAGTTTTCAACCTTTCACCATTGAATATGATATTAGTAGTGAGCTTGTGATATATGGCCCTTGATTATGTTGAGGTATGTTCTTCCTAAGTTCTTGAGAGCTTTATCATGAAAGGATGTTAAATTGTGCTAAATGCTCTTCTTGCATTTATTAAGATGATCCATGATTTTTAATCCTTTATTCTATTAATGTGGTAAAATCCATTTGATAGTATTTTGTTGAGAATTTATTTCATCTATATTCATTAGAGATATTGAATATTTTTTTTTTCTTTGTAGTGTCCTTAACTAGCTTTGTTATTAGGCTAATGCTGCCTTATAGAATGAGTTTGGGAGTGTTCCTTCCTATTAAATTTTTTGGAAGAATTTTATTTTATTTTATTTTTAAAGATTTATTTATTTTACTTTAGAGAGAGATAAAGTGGGTATGGGGGACTGAGGGAGAGGGGGAGGGAAAGAGAATCCTTAAGCAGACTCTGGTGCATTCAGAGCCCCACGTAGGACTCTGTCTCACAACCCTGAGATCATGACCTGAGCCGAAACCAAGAGTCAGACACTTAACTGACTGCACTACCCAGATGCCCCTGGAAGAATTTTAGAAGGATTTGCATTAATTCTTCTTAAAATGCTTAGTAGAATTCACCAATTAAACTCTCCAGCCCTGGATTTTTCTTTGTTGGAAGGTTTTTGGTCACTTATTTAATCTCTTTAGTCATTTTTGGTCTGTTAAGATTTTCTGTTTCATTATTTAGTCTTGGTAGGTTGTATATATCCTAGGAATTTATCATTTATTCTAGGCTATCCGATATTTTGGCATGCAACTGTTTATAGTAGACTCTTATGATCCTTTGTAATTCTGTGCTGTCAGTTATAATTTCTTCTCTTTCATTTCTGATTTAAATATTTGGGTCTTCTCTCTTTTTCTTCTTAGTTTATCTAAAAGTTTGTTAATTTTGTTATTCTCTCAGAAAACCAGCTTTTAGTTTCAGTAACCCTTTCTGTTATTTTTCTGGTCTCTATTTCTGCTCTGGTCATTATTATTATCTTCCTTCAACTAACTTTGGCCTTAGTTTGGTTTTCTTCTTATGGTTCCGTGAGGTGTAAATGTAGGTTATTTATTGGTGATCTTTCTTTTTTCTTAATGTAGACATTAACACTATAAACTTCCTTCTTAGAACTGTTTTTGCTGTATTCCATAAGTTTAAGTACATTGTGTTTCTATTTCCATTTGTTTCAAGATGTTTTTTAGTTTCCCTACTGATTTCTCCTTTCACTCATCAATTGTTCAGGAGTGTATTGTTTAATTTCCACTTATGTGTGAATTTTCCAACTTTCCTCCTGTTACTTACGGACTTCTAGTTTTATTCCATCATGTTTGGAAAAGGTATTATTTCAGTCTTTTAAAATTTGTTAAGAGTTGTTTTGTGACCTAACGTGATCTATCCTGGAAAATGTTGTATTTATACCTGAAAAGAATACATATTCTGCTGCTGTTGGATGGAATGTTCTGTATCTGTCTAGTAGGTCTTTTTCATAGAAAGTATATTCAAGTGTAGTGTTTCTTTGATGTTTGGATGATCTATCCATTGTTAAAAGTGTGGTTTTGAAGTCATCTATTATTGTATTGTTGTTTATTTCTCCCTTCAGATATGTTAGTATTTGCTTAATAAATTTAGGTGCCACAGTGTGAGGTACATATATATTTACAATTGCTAATATACTCTTGATTACTCAACCTTTTATTATTATATAGTGATTTTGTCTCTTTTTACAATTTTTGATTTGTCAGTTTTGTCTGGTATAAGTAGAGCTACTCCTCCTCTCTGAACTTACCTACAGCCTAACTATATGTCACTACCAAATATTATTATTAAATTTTAAGTTCCCAGAGGGTAATCTGCACATTTTTCTTTGTATATTACTGTGCATCGTTAGTTGCAATTATAAGAGTGTCTTTGACAATGATGGAAATGATACTGTTTTAATAATAGTTTTCCCTCTTTGTGGTTTTATTTCATGGTTAAAGAATATATTTCTACAGATTTCATTTCTAAAACTGAACCGGCGAATATTTCTAAAAAATTTAAAAAGATGGGTAGAAAAGGTCACATATTATGTGCCAGTAATTAATTGCCACTCAGACTTCTGATAGAAAATGCTAATTTCTTTATTTGCCTTCCCTCCTCAGTACATCAAAGATGGGGCTAAGTTAGCATTGTTGGATAGAATTTCTTCCAGTTTTGGCAAGGCAGGGACATTTTTCTGTGATCCTGAGAAAACACATTGGTCAGTGAGACATAGGCCTAGCTTTTTGAACTGTCAACATGGGAAGTAGTTGCCTCCTATGAATGTATTGGGCAGGGTCAATGATATTTGATGTTACCAAAACTCCCATGAAGACTCTTATGATCAAAATGCACTTGCTTAGGAGTGGATAGAGAGAAACTTAAAATTTCTAGAGAGGAAACTTAAAGTACTCCTAAAGCATCTATAATGTTGAAATTCTGAATGTTATTCTGACCAACTCAGTCTTCCCTAGCTCCTCTATAAATAATGAAAATTTAAGTTCCTATAAAATGAATTTGTGTTTATTTTATTTTATTTATATCATGTGTGTATTTAGGAAGTAACCATTTATTTTGACAGATTGAGTTTTAATTTGAAAATAATCTCTGGAGGCCTAGCTGAAAGAATATGGTCTTCCACAGGTTACCATTCAGTTTCTTAGGTTCCACAGGATTAGAAATTCTCTAAATTTACTTTTTCAGGTTAAGAACTCAAGCTGTATTTAAGTCAAGAGAACTCCTTGCTGCTAAAGAGTTTACCAAACCCCGAGAGTTCAATCTGGATATGAATGGGGATGACTGTGGACCAAGGTAAACCTGACTGATGGGTGAAAGCAAGAACATGGAGGACACAGATATTAAGGCACAGATATTAAGGATATGTTTGGTATCTATTTATAGCTTTCTACAGGTCAGGTTTCTGATAATAAGAATAAATACATTCTCACTATAAAATTTTTAAAAATATAGGGGAGTGTAAAGAAGAAAATAAAAATCATTCATGATCCTACCATTCAGAGATAATCCTTTGAACCTTCTCCCCCTTTCTTTCTTTCTTTTATAATAATATATCCTATACTGAGTAATGGGAGCTATGCTTATGAAGAATTTTAATTATGCTTTTTTTCACTGAATCAGTATTTTCTGATACCATAATTTATTTTATGAAAAGTTGATACTAGTTTATTCAACAAATATTTATTATCTGACATATTTTTCTATGTTGCCCTAGTATTGTATAATCCAGGCTTTTACTGTTATAAATGTGCCTTGAAGAATATTTCTATGAATAAGTTTTTTACTTTATCTCTACCTTTGTCTTTGATATAGATTCTATAACTGAAACTACTAACTCAAAGTATATATGAATCCTTTTAAAATCCTTGATTCACATTATCCATTTGCTTTCCATAAAAGTTAAATCAGTTTTCACCACCAGAGCTGTGTTTGAGAATTCTCTTTTCATGAAATTTGAAGAATTTTTGGCCATTATTTTTTCAAAAAAATTTTTTTTGCCTATTCTCTTTCTTCTTTCCTTTTTGTATTTCATTTACAGGTATATTAGGCCTTTAAGGAAGTCCCTGACTCTTCTAATTTTTTTTCTTTATTCTTCATAGTGGATAATTTTTATTGATATGTCTCAAATTCATCAACTCTTCTGTTATTTCCAGTCTGCTTTTTTTTTTTAAGATTTTATTTATTTATTTGACAGAGAGAGAGAGAGAGAGATCACAAGTAGACAGAGAGGCAGGCAGAGAGAGAGGGGGAAGCAGGCTCCCTGCTGAGCAGAAAGCCCGATTCGGGGCTCCATCCCAGGATGCTGGGATCATGACCTGAGCCAAAGGCAGAGGCTTAACCCACTGAGCCACCCAGGCACCCCTCCAGTCTGCTTTTAAGCCTGTAGAATGATTTATTTTTATTTAGATAATGGATTTTTTAGTTTTAGGCTTTCCATTTGGATCTTTGTTTAAAATTTCTATTTCTCTGATGAACTTTCCTTTTTTATTCATTACAAATATATTTTTCCTTTAAAATGCTTTTCTCCAGTTCTAACACCTGGATCATCTTGGGGTTTGTCTCATTGATCAACTTTTCTCTTGAGTATTGGTCATTTGTACATTTGTACATTCCTTTGTACATTTAGCAAATTTTTTTATTGTTTCCTAGTATTGTGAATGACTCTGGAATTCAATTATAATCCCTCTAAACAATGTTAATTTTATATGGTAGCAAGTAGTTTACTTAACTGAATTCAAATTCCAAGCTCTGTTTCCCTTGAGTAACAGTGAAAATCGCTGCTGAGCTCTTTTAATTGGGGTAGATGTTTGAGTCTGCCTTAATTGCAGGTGGTTCAGGGGTCAGCCACAACTGGCAGGGTTGTTACACAGAATTTGAGGCTTTCAGTCTTTCTCTCTTACCTCTCCAGGATTTTTCCCTTTTCATGTGCTTTGGTCAGCTCAGACTCTGTCCTCTGGTTCTTTAAGACTGACCTTCAGCTGAAAGCCATTAAAAAAAAGAAAAAAAAATTAAGAACTCTCCCAGTGCCAGTCTTTTTTCAAGTGCTGATCCTCTTCCAGTTTCTGCTTATTTTCAATGACTCTTCAGTGCTTCAGGTTTGGTTTTTGTTTTGTTTTGTTCTGTTTTGTTTTTGTTTTTTCTTCCCAGGGTTTTAATTGTTAACTATGGGAGTTTGGTCCTATAGAAACTACTCATCCAGTGTAAAAAAAACCTAAGAATTCTCATTTCAGACAATTCTGCCATCTTTTAATTTTGGTAAAATACACATAATATAAAATGTACCATCTCAGCCATTTTTTAGTGTACAGTTCAGTAGTACTAAGTATATTCACATTTTTATGCAACCCATCTCCAGAATTTTTTTATTTCGCAAAATTGAATCCCTATACCCATCAAACTGCTCCACATTTCCTCTCCCTACCAGCACCTGGCACCCACCTTTCTACTGTCCATTTCTATAAGTTTGATTACTCCATTACCTCATATAAGTGGAATCATATGGTATTTATCTTCTTATGACTTGCTGTAATTTATTTTTTGTTTAATTTTTACTATTGATATCAAGCACATAGATAGTTTAAAAACCACTAGTTCAACAAGGCTTAAATTCAAAATAGCAGCCTCCTCTACACTGGAGAAGCAGTACTCCCAATTTTCACTCTTCAGAGAGAAGAAGTTTTGACTGTTTTAGATGTTTCTTCCTTTATCTGTTTCTTCTAGCATTATATCCTTATTTCTGAACAACAGACTTCTGTAGGCATTGAGTATTAGCTTTCTTCTATGAAAGATGTGACTGTGACTTAGCTCTCACAGATAACCATCTATTGGCTATCTCCCTCTCTCCTCGCTTTTCCTCACATTTCTTCCTTCTCCCCTCCTTTCCTTTTCCACTTCCCCCCTAATATACATACCCACACACATGGGTGTGAAAATAATATTTCCCCTTTCCCTTCATTCTGTCCTCGCAATATAGTTATATCATAAGATGGTTACAATAAGATTGTATCTATTTTATACACAGCTGGTCCATGTACTATATGATTACTAAATTTAATTTCCATATAATTGTTTTCTTTAGAGCTTAGAAATACCTTATTTAATTTTCTGTGTACTCGTTGATTTGTTAATTCATTCAAATATTTATAACATTTCCCGCCAGGTGTTAGACACGTTCTAAACTTCGGGGGATGTAGCAATGCACAAAAGAAAAATTTCTGACCTTGTACAATTTACATTCTCACATCTTATAATTCCCAAACTCACCCAGAAAGTTTAATTCTCTGAATATATTTAAACACATTAGTTATTCTATCATGTCTTCATTACATTCTTTTGCTGCTTTATTCCCTTCTTTCTTCTTTCTTTTTTGGTTTTTTAAGATATTCCTCCCGGAGCCCTCTGTAATCCTGCTTATATATTTACTTGCTTCCTTATGGTACAAAAAATATATATATAAAATGCTGATAAGCCGAAAGAAGAAATTAACACATACCTATAATCTCATCATCTAAAGAAAATATATAACTTCTAGATCTTATTTCTTTATGGTATATGATATGTATTATATTACATATTTTGTTTCATATCCCACTTTTTAAAATTCAACTGTAATTAGCATACAGTGTCATATTTGTTTCAGGTATACAAATAATGATTCAACAATTTTGTACATCACTCAGTGCTCATCAGCGTAAGCATTCTCTTGATCACTTCGATCTACTTCACCCATCCCCCTACCCACCTCCCCTCTGGTAACCATCAGTTTGTTCTGTATATTTAAGAGTCTCTGATTTTTGTTTGTCTCTTTTCTCTTTGTTTGGTTGGTTTACTCCTTAAATTTCACATCTGAGTGAAATCATATGGTATTTGTCTTTCTCTGTCTGAACTTATTTCACTTAGCATTATAGAATACCCTCTAGTTCATCTGTGTTGTCATGAATGGCAAGATATCATTCTGACTGGGGCGAGTGGGTGGCTCAGTGGATTAAAGCTTCTGCCTTCAGCTCGGGGGGTGATGCCAGGGTCCTGAGCTGGATCCCAACATCGGCCTCTCTACTGAGCAGAGAGTCTGCTTCCTTTTCTCTCTCTGCCTGCCTCTCTGCCTACTTGTGATCTCTGTTTGTCAAATAAATTAAAAAAAAAAAAAGATATCATTCTGACTGACTGATATTCCAGGGTGTGTGTGTGCGTGCGTGCGTGTGTGTGCGCACGCACGTGCGCCCACACGCATCACTTTTTTTTTTTTTTAATTCCAATATAGTTAACATACAGCATTAGTTTCAGGTGTACGTTATAATGATTCAACAATTCTATACATTACTCAGTGCTTGTCAAGATAACAGTACTCTTAGTTCCCTTTACCTATTTTTACCCATTCCCCCACCCTTCTGTTCTATAGTTAAGAGTCTGGTTTGGGGTTTCTCTCTTTATTTTTCCTTTTCATTTGTTCTGTTTCTTAAATTCCACATATGAGTGAAATCGTGTGGTATTTCTCTTCTCTGATGGACTTAGTTCACTTATCATAATACTTTCTAGATCATCCATGTTGTTGTAAATGGCAAGTTTTAATTATTTTTTATGGCTAAGTAATACTCCATTGTACATATATACCACATCTTTTTCCATTCATTCATAGATGGACACTTGGGTTGCTTCCATATCTTGGCTATTGTAAGTAATGCTGCAATAAACACAGGAGTGTATTGTGTCTTTTTGAATGGGTGTTTTTGTTTTCTTGAGGTAGATGCCCAATACTGAAATTACTGGATCATATGGGAATTCTATTTTTAATATTTTGAAGAAATTCCAGGGGCACCTGGGTGGCTCAGTGGGTTAAGCCTCTGCCTTCAGCTCAGGTCCTGATCTCAGGGTCCTGGGATCGAGCCCCACCTTGGGATCTCTGCTCAGCAGCGAGTCTGCTTCCCTCTCTCTCTCTCTCTGCCTGCCTCTCTGCCTACTTGTGATCTCTATCAAATAAATAAATAAAATCTTAAAAAAAAAAAAGAAAGAAAGAAATTCCAGACTGTTTTCTACAGTGGCTGTACCAATTTGCATTCCCACCAATGGTGGATGAGGGCCTTATTCTCTGCTTTTTAGCCTATACGTATTATTTCTTGTATTTTTTTTTTTTAGCCATTCTGACAGATGTATGTTGATATCTCATTGTGATTTTGATTTCCATTTCCCTGATGATTAGTGTTGAGGATCTTTGCAGGTGTCTGTTGGCCATATATATGTCTTCTTTGGAAAAATGCCTATTCGTGTTCTCTCTCCAGTTTTTAATTGGATTATTC